CACCGCCTCCCCGCCGCGGCCGCCCTCACGGGGCGTGCCCGCGCCCCTCAGCGCCGCGCGGCGCTGGGCTGCCCGGGGTGCCCGCTCGGCGCTGCCCTCGGCCTGAGGGGCGCGGCGGAGCCGGCGGGGATCCCCCGCCGCTCGGGGACCTCCCGCTCCTGGCCTGGTCCTTGATCCAGCCGTCACTTCCATAGAGTCAAAAAATCGCAGAATGGTTAGGGCTGTAAAGGACCTTAAAGCTCATCTGGATCCAGCCCCCGGCCGTGGGCAGGGACACCTTCCAGCAGGTTGCTCCAAGCCCCATCCAGCCTGGCCTTGGGCACTGCCAGGGATGCGGCATCCACGGCTGCTCTGGGCAGCCAGTGCCACTGCCTCACCCCCCTCAAGTAAAGACTTTATTCCTAATATTGCATCTAAACTTCGTTTAAATCATCTATTGCACTGTTTCTCACTCAGCTGCCAAATGCCTGTGTTGTATCTGTGCACGCTCGGCAACTCAGCATTAGGGAAAATCTAACCAAGGCATCGAGATGCAGACTGTTACTTGTGGCAGGAGAATTGCAAGAAAAATTACATAAAACACACTTTCCATCAAATAATCCTCAAAACCCTCTAAAATGTGACTGCTGATACACCTTGAGAAGTCCTCTGCCCTATGCCTATTTAATGTGTTACAGCCACAGCCTCCCTGGAATGTCATCTTTGAACAAGGTATAATCAGAGCTGTAAATATACACCAGGTTTAACTGGTATGTAGGTTACTTTTAAAAGCCTCATTTTTATATGGGTACAGAACAACGCAAATATTGTAAGCAGCCGGTGGCAATGCAGCAAGACTACCCAGCAATTCAAATGGCAAATGGTAACCGAGGAGACAATTTGTGCAGAGTAGACTGTGGAAATATTTTTACAAAAATAAAACATACTTTACAAACTTCAGTAGACCATAGGACGTGAATATCAACAGCTCCTTCAAATATTAGTGATAAGCACTTTTCATATAATTTCCCCCTCTTTTTGCTTTAATACTTCACTTTATTTACTTTGCTCCAAACCCAGACCTAGGAAAACTACAGGAGGAAGAAAAAAGATTACATGCAGTTGTAAGACAGCATTTATAAAAGTTAAATGGAGTGACTGTTTCAATTCAGAAATAAAGCAACTTCCTTGTTTTCAGAGTCAAGGAATGAAAAGTCTTTTGGATTTAATCAACTTCTCTCTGGACAAAAACTTGAAACAACTCAGAGATTAGCTTTCATTAGTAGTTTTATAACAAAGGCTATCCTGGTACGGGATCCCACGCTGAAGAGCTCTCATGTTTCGTTCCACCACAGCTGCTTCCACATTATTCCTTGTGTCACATCTGACCTCAGCTGCATAGGTCAAAAGTAGACCCCATGGGATTAAACTGGTGCAAATCCAGAGTGAGGGGAAATGTGGAACACCACCTCTGTGCTCTCCAGTGTATTAAGTACTTAAAGAAAGAGAATAACATTAAAAAAAAAAAAAGTCTTTTAAAATACCTGAATTTAGAGTGGGAATAATGTGAATACCTCAGAATGCCTTGAGGTTTACAGCACACTGAGGCAAAAATCAGCTACTTACTGACATAGCATTTTTCGCAGAGGAAGGGATGTTTTGACACCAGGCCAGAGTCTTAACTCTGATCGGAAGTGCAAAAGGAGCCTTAATTCCCACACAGCACATGGGAATTCAGTCTTCATCTTGTCATCAAAAAAAGCCAAACATGAAAAAAATCTGAGTGTAACTGCTATTCTTCATCAGCAAAATACTCACAGGGTGAGCATGGGATGAACAGGGAGTGCTTCGTCCTGGGGTTTGTTCCCCAGGATGCGAAGTGTGTGGGACTGAACCCATTGCCGAAGGGATTTGAAGACTTTTTTCTAGAATTTGGGGGCTGGATTTGTGTCCCCCCCTTAGTTCATTTTTAATGGAATGGAAGAAATAAAGCTATCACGACTTAATTCAGAGAAGAACATTAGCATCTGAAAGGGCCAACTGCAACCCTGACTCTGTGCCAGCAGGTTACCAAGCACCAAGGGCTTCCATGTTTTTCCCTTTCCCCAGGAAGAACAATGTGTTCTCACTTTCTCTTCTAAAATCTGGACCGTCTGTGGGGAGTACTCACAAAAGTCAACTTCAGCCCAGCCACATCATCTCTGTAGATTCCTCCTGCAGACACTGGAGAGAAATAGGCTCCTTCTCAAGGCAATGGGGGCAGCAAATAAATTCCTTGTTAAGAAACAGACTCAAAAGACTGCCCAGTGCTCAGAGCACCTCGGGAATTCAACTTGGTCAGGCTGAAGTTGGCCTTTCAGAGTGCCCTCCTTCCCCACCCTTGTCTTTACACTCCCCCCAGTCATCTAGTGCCTCTCACTTATGTATTTACATACTTACTTTTCTGTCATTTTAACGTGGTCCCTCTCTTCAGCATTGTCACTCTGGGTTGTTCCAAATTGCTCCATACCAACGAGGAAATAAGACAGTTCAATGATGTTCAATCATTTGGGATTGTTCTTTTCATTAATAAATACTTCTAAAATAAAATTTCTACAACAAACTGAAGTTCCTGGAATGGTGTGTTAATAGGATAGGTCTTCCTATGTTTCTTCTAAATGGGAAGTGTTATTCCATGCTGCCATTGACTTTCAATTCATTAAAAAGAAAAACAGTGTATCAAATAATGTAATTAACTTTTGTTCAATTTTAAAAGTAAACCAATGACTATCATGCAAATGTAGAACAGTAAAACTTTTTAAAAGCCAAGTTCTAGATTGTCTGTAGTGGTGAAGAATATATGGCATTTAACTGTTGCCATTTCATCCTGATACTTTTCTCTTTCTAGAAGTATAATCACAGAATTTAATGCTGCCTGCAGCAGGGAAACTCACAGACCAGCTCTGCTCTTTCTATAAAGAGAGATTACTTTGTTTAAAAAATTCACATGCTATTAGTTTGAATAATTCCTTGGGCTGAATTCTCAGCTGTGCCCAGGCTCAGTGGCACAACAGCTGATGGAAAGGAGACACAAGGCGCTCTTTGCAGCTTCTCTAGCAGTTTCCTTTCCGTTATCCTCTTAACTGCAAGCAGTATCTCATATTTTCCATTGTGGCAGTCCTCCTTGTCAGCATTTCCTTGGTTGTGGGAAGTAAGTGTCCTGGATAACGCATTATCCTGGGCAGTATCTGGAGCACAGTTAGTGAAGATGATGGAACACATCATCTCTTTGTACCACAATTCAGCTTTTCTGAACCTGGCCCTTTGTAAATCTCAGCACCTTTGAGAGTGCAAAGGGTGATTGGATGCTTTGGGATTGCAGGCCATTGTGTGGTGTGGGTGCTTTGGTTGGACTGATATAATGAATTTTTAAAACTATTCATGAGTGTTGAGCAAACTTGCATGACTATGTCTAATTTCTACTCCCCATTTCCCCTTTTTGAAGAAAATAGAGGAAGCCTTTGCAGTCCTGCAGACCTGCAAAGTCACAGGTGTGCATAACTCCCATTCCAGAGTGGCAAATCAGAGGCAGGAATCTGCAGCTGTGCTCCACTTTGAACTCTCGTCATGGCTGGATCCAGATCTGGACACTGCTTTTAGTACATGCAACTCCACTGATGACAAAGAGATAAAGAATTTGAAGTAGCATCTCAAAAGAGGATCTCAAACAATTATCAGTTGTCAAGGTTTCATGATCTTCCTATTCAGAAAATCTGCCTGTATGCACAATTTGATTTTTCTTATTTTCACATTTGTCTGGGCCTTACCAGAAGAACTGCATTTATGTGTGCAAATCTGGGTATTTCTGGTGTACCTGTATAGTTACTCTGGCATTGCACAGAGCACTGCAGATGCTTGTGTGCAGCTCAGAAGGGAGGAGCTGTCCCAAAGTGTTGGATTTACCCTGAGTATACAGAGATCTCCCATGTATGCTGGGTCTGATACTCCCTATTTATGCTGTTCAATTAAGTAACTTGGTTTAGGACTTTAGTGTTTTAAGACAACACACTAAAGTGGCTGAAATCAGTATGTAAGAAATAAAGAAGACTTAAGATGAAGCTGGAAGTCAGATTACTGGGAGCTATCAGGGAAAAAATCAGAAATGAGCAATATACTGAGATGTCCTGTGGGAGAAGGTCACCGAATCAGTCTGTAGACAGCCAGCAGCTACCTCTGCTTTATACAGGCTAAGAGAATTTTCTGTGAAAAGTCATGAATGTTAGCTTTCTGCAAATTAATACAATTCTAAAAAAAGAAAACAACAACAAAAACCATAAAAGGGTTCTGATCTAAGATACTACTTCTAATACTGTATTCACAGTGACATTTTCATTTTCCAGTACTTTCAGTGTCCTTCAGGAATTAGTTTCTGAATGTGGTTCAGATTGCTGTCTGTCACCTTTGAGATGAGCCTATTTTTGAAGTATATGGTCAGAGATTGTGTAACACTGTCCTATATAAACCTTTTATGTTTTATCTTTGTTGCAGTGGCCTTTCTCTACTGATTGTGTTGTGCGATTCAATTTCTTAAGCAGTTTTCTACTCCTCATTGTGAGAACCTAATCTCTCTGGGTAAAGGGAGAGCAGATCTACTCCTGCTTTCCTCAGATGAAATATCTGGCTCTGATTCCTGTTCCATCCCACGTCTCAGTCCTGAGACACTATGTGCCCAGTTCCTCCCTGAAGGTGGTTGAAGAGATGCAATTTTCTTCTTAAGTAAAGCCATCTGGGATGTCCCACATGGCCACACATCGTGACTCAGATGGCAAACAGCACTTCCTTCAGGGGCAGCAATACAGATCAGTGCCATTTTGTGTCCATCCCTTAATTACTGAATGTTTTTGTTCTACCAGGGCCTTCCAGAGCTAACCTTCCTAACCATTCTAGCCAGGAAGGTTCATCTGCCTTTT